ATCCCGGCGGCCCAGCGCTCGAGTGGACGCGGGGCTTCGCAAATGGCTTGTCCCGCTGTCGGTCTGGAAGCTCTGCAGCCCCTGCAGCCCGAGCCGCCCCCCGAGCCTGCCTTCTCCGAGGCGCAGAAGTGGATCGAGGTAAGGTGCCCGCGGCTGGCGGACGGCCTTGCAGGGGCGTCCAGAGCCACGGAGCCCCCCCGCACACGGACGACAGGTCCAGCCTCGCCTCCCCCACTTTCTTTTGCCAGCTGCTCCGGGTCCACCGCCAGGGCCTCGAGCAAGCTGCGACCCCCCGACACTTTGGCGCTGGCGTCTCGGGCGAGGGTGGGCGCGAAGTATGGGGGTGGGGGGAACACTGCGGTTTAGCTGTGCGTGTGGCGGGCAGGAAGCGGTCCCCTTGCGCCTCCATCCCTCCTGCCTGCCAGCCGCGCAAATCTCAGCTCCTGCTGCTTCCAGGCGCTGCCAAGGGAAGCGCAGTGCGAGCAGAAGTGCCGCAGAGGCGCAGGAGGAGCGAGACCCCAGAGTCCTTGCCGACGCCGCATTCCGGGGGTCCTGCTCCCGGTCCTACCTTCCGCCTCTTGGCCCCTACCTCCCGCCGTTCGGGAGCCAAGTTGTCCGCGTCTCCGCGGAAGCGCATACCTACTGGAGCCTCTGGCTGTATTTCTGGCACCGGGTCAGGTGTGAGGCTGCACAGCGCAGAGGGCCGGCCAGCCTGTAAGACCCACCTGTGAGCGCGCCATCCGCATAGATGTTGCCCAGCCATTGGCAGCCCCCACTCCTTCCCAGAGGCGGCGGGTCGGGCTCCCTGGTGCCGGGTACTCGGCCCTGTTGGCATGTTTCGCTTCTTAAATGACTCAGTGGCAGGTCAGGGAAATCACTGGAGCTCTCGGCTCAGTCCAGGAAGCGCTCGCTGATAGATCCTGATTCTCGATGTCTATCTGTACATGCAGCTTGGTGGCCATGCGCTCCCGAAATGACGTGGCTGCGGGGTCAGGACGCTTGGAGGGCGCCAGGGGGGAAAGGTGACTCCCCTGTGATCTGTGCAATGAGCCTCTGTTTCGGCGGGCGGCCTTTCCTGAGGCTTGGTGGAAGGCTAATTTGACCCTCTTTTCCTCAGGGGCAGGCAGCTCTCCCTCCCTGCTGGTTTGAAGAAAGAAATGTACCACTAAGTCATGATCCAGCAAAGGTGAAGCCTGTTAGTACTCACGCTATCACTTAGAGACATCCCCCGTGACACCACACATCTGAATGCTGCTGGGGTAACAGAGCTGCGATAGTACAGATTTAAATCTGCTGAACTGCCTGCGGGAACCAGTCTCATTTAATACTGCTCTAATGCTCCAGCCAGAGGCCTGCACCTTACAGGGTTAACCTGCTTCATGCAAGCAGGAGTATTAGGCAGAGTTTAGAAACCTCTATTTAAAAACAGAGTTAAAGAAACAGAAGAATAAACCCGAGGCTCTATTGCTAAAAGCCCCAGTCACGTTTCTCATAATTTGATGGCTCATAACCAGATGAGAAAGAGACCTTGGCTTTTTATTTTTGATATGTGTGGCTGGCACAGCTTGGGCTGTGACAGGTGCTTTCCCTGGGCTGCATACTTGGGCTCACAGGACACACAGGAGACATTTGTAGTTACTGGCTTGATTGAGAGTTGGGGAACTGCGTTTTTCATGTTCTTAGAACTTTAAAATTCTCAGGAGAGATTTTGGATGTGGATGGTGGTGAGGGGAGGGTACAAGAGCAGAGCACTCTTACACTTCTCAAAGGCAAATTCTCAAAGGCAAGTGGTTTATTCCCAGTGTCCTTAATTGTAAGTAACACTGAAGTACTCTAATTCAAAAAAATGTATTGTGGTGTAAGTTACAGACAGGAAAGCGCACAAATCTTAAGTGCACACCTCCATGAATTTTGACAATTGTATATGGTACTTCAGCCCCCACCTAGATCAAGATCTAAAACGTCTTCTTCAGCCCAGGTCACAGTCTTCTTTTAAGAGGTGGTCTGTTTCAGGCTAAATATTATACACTGCAGAATATCACCTTTTGTCCTGGTTCCACGGATTTTAAAAAGAGAAGGGCTTCCTTAAGAAAGCAGAGCTGTGTTGAGCCCTATAGATAGTTGGGCATTATTCTTGATGCTTTACCAGGCCTACCAGTTTGAGAATGTGGAAACGTAAGGGGCAGTGCGTGGCTTTAGGACGAAGCAGCCCTGGCGCTTGGCGTGTGCATTATTGAAGCGGCCTATCTGCTTTCAATCTCCGAGTTGGGTTTCATGGAAAGGCGAGCTTCCTCTCCCAGGCTGTATAAAAAGGTGTTTGCTCCAGGGAGAGATACAGACCGCCCCTCTTCCTTCCCGGAGGTTCCTCTTGAAATGTAAATGCTGTGTCTGCAAACCAGGGGAACCCAGGAGCAGTAACAGATGGTTCTGCACGGAGCTGCCCTGTGAACAAAGATTCCTTGGCTAATATTGCAATAATGTAGTACTTAGTGCGAACTGCATTCCCAGGGGGACTGTTATCTCGAGACAATTGCATCTCCTTTAGGGGCCCCATTGTCTTCAGCAACATCCTCATTGGTAGGGCTTTGTTTTTCACTTTTGTTCAGTTGGTGATTAAATTTCCCACAGGCTTTTTTTTTTTCCTTTTTCTTTTGAGTAGTCAGGAATTTCACCCTTTCAGACAAATGTTCCCTTGGGTGCAGCAGGTTAATAAACAAACTTTGCAGCTTGTCTCTCCTTCTCAGTCTCTGGTCTTCCTCGAGTCATGGATTGGCGAGAAAACTGTTCATTCTTAATAAAGGCTCAGGGAACAAGCTCCAGGAGATAACTCTTTAGTGAGGAATTTCGGCCTGCAGGCTTGGCTATTTGAGGCCTGCGTTACTGGGCAGGAAACCGTGGCCTGGGAACCGTGCCCCCACCTCACCCCGCCCCCCAGCTTCTGCCTCAGCTGGCAAAGGTGAAAGCCTGATGGAGGTCACAGACTGGGTGGAAACAGTTTCCTCACACTTCCAGTGACTTTTTATAGCTGTAGGAGCAGGCTATGTGTCTTAATGTGACTTTGGGGAGACTCCTGAAGGAAACAGTGAACTTCAAGTATTAACTCTGGCTACCAGCAGGCAGGGGCTTAGCTTCCTTCCACGTTCCTTGTCTGGAAGGCCTTCCTAAGCAAAGAGGCATAAGTACACCACAGTAGTTGAGAGGCCAGACTTTGGAACTGGGCAGCCTGGCTTGGAATCCCAGGTCCACTGCCTTCTAGCTGGGTGACTTTGGACAGGCCACGTTACCACTCCTTTTGGTTCTGAATAGTTTCTTTGAAAGCTAGCTCTAGTTGTTAACAACAAAGAGATGCTGTTGAAAGCATCGGTAAAACAGGGGTACCAATAATCGCTTACCTACCTCGAAGGAGTGCCGAGAAAATAAATAATACGTTCAAGATGCTTAGAATAGTAGCACCCAGCATGTAGGAAGTGCTGCCTGAGTAATGGTCATTATTATTATTACTGTCGCATTACTTCTGTATTCATATCACTACTACCACTACTACTGTCGTTCTACTGCCATCACCACTCTATCGTTACTGATACTACTGTTTTCACCCTTGTTGTTAATGACAACTACAGCTGATTTGGAAAGAAAATCTCCAGAACCCCGAGTTTCTTAGTGTAAAAAATACAATTCAATTGTTTACTGATCTCATTCTATTGTCTCACCTTATTAGCTTCAGATACCTAGACTAGAAGTTAAGTAGGTGCTCTGTGTTATTCTAACTTGTATTAAAAGAGATTCAGGGATCAGAGGAAAACCAGTAATACCTACTGATACAGTGATCCCGATAGTCCATTAAGGCTTAGAAAATTACTTCTCGATATCATTTGGATATTTAAGTTTAATGCATAGTCTTTGTTATCAAACTGTAAGCAGAATGCTCAGCTCCTCTCTTGTGGATAATCCAGCATTAAATCATTATACAAATGGTGGTTGTCTGAATATTCCTCTCAGAGTAGCAGTGTTTTGTTCATTGGAGTTGTGTCAACTCCCTCTAGGAAAAAGAATAACTCCCCCATTTATTTTCCTTCCTCCTTCCACCCTTCTTTTTTCTTTTTCATTTTTTTCCTCCCCGTGATGGTATTTATTGAGTTACAGGACTTTGTTAGCAGGTAGATGATTCTAATTTTCTTGGCACCCCCCCACCTCTGCCTCTCCACCCACAACAATATTTATCTGTTCTAATCTGTATTTCTTCTCTGCAATGTTTCTGGAGAAACAGATGTCGCTTCAACTTGGTTTCAGTTGTGATTTGGAACAAGTTGCCAGGCCTTTAGGGAGGGGTTGGAAATTTCAACCCAAGTCGGCCTTACTTCTATTTGAGACATTTCTGGACTCCTTTAACTTTAATCATAGCGTACCTGTGGGGCTTGGTGGTGAATATCATCTCGTTTGTGACCTCATCCATATTTCACATGAATGGGAGCTAGTGCTGGAAGGGATCAGTTCATCATTTTGGGTCATTTCCCCCTGCTCACATAGAACTGTTTTCTTACTCAACTGAGACCTGATTTTGAAGATTTAAAGCACCAAGGGTACCTTAGTTCTCCAAGATGGAAAGCTGTTGTATTGTTTGGCAATTGGAAAAATTTATGTGCAGCCTTTGAGAGAATCTAGCATTTAGTGGCCAGTTACATATGACATTTGGGATGTAATGACGAATGAACATATGCCATAAGTTATGTAGTCATTCCAATTCTCCTTTTCTGTCAGTACTTGATGACTCATATCTTTTTACTGCAACCAGGATTTAACTTTGCATCTGGTTCTCCAGCTCTGCATGGAGACCAAGGAAGAGGAAGAAAAACTTTTCTGGCTAGATCAAGAAAGGAGTAGTAGTCTGAATAGATATGTAAATGAGAGGAGGCAGCATCTTTCTCACAATGACATTTAAATAGTCTGGCTTGTTTGTATACAGGGCTGCTGTGACACAATGCTGTCACATGGTTGGAGAACAGTGAGGTCCCACAGATTTGGGGAAAGGGGAAGTGGAATGGGAGGTGGAGCTGGCTCTTCTCGCCTCAGCATCTCCCTGGAAACCGAGTTTGCATCAGGCAAGCTCCAAATGGGCAGGCAGACTGAGCTCTGGCCAC